CACCACACAAAAACAAGAATATTCTCCGATAATTTATTCAGAATTTTCATATAAACAGGTAATTATCCCATATTTTACATGCAGAGCAATTTCAATATTCAAAGAAAAAGGCATATTCTGTACATGGCGCTACTTGGCTCTTGTAGGAAAACATTGAAAAAATAATAATTGAGCTTTTGGTGGGTTTTGTGTTTCTGAGTTGTTTTCCCCATAAGCTGAGGCACATTTGATCCTGTGCAGCTGACAGCGGATGGAAAGTGTCTGCGGCTGACACGCAGAGCCAGGACCCCCCGAGGCACAAAAAGTAGAAAGACTAAACAAGCCATTCCTGAATGTGTACATAGACGCACATTTGTCTTGGATGTTGTTCCTTCCTTCTCAAAGGGGACAAAGAGCCTCAGATTCGTGATCTGGTTTTTAACAAGGACTTTTAGGGTCCACACCCGAATAAGACTTTGGCTGGAGGTTGGTTCTCGACCCTGACTGGTATGAGGTGACAGTGAGCTCACAAAGTCAACGTTTCCCTCTGCTTCTGGGGGACCCCTCAGGAAACATTCACCTTCAGTTGTAGCCCCTGAAAGTCCATGACATTCTTTCACGTGTTTGAAAGAACAAATCAGCATTTGTTCTTTCCATTTCAACCTCACCTCTGGTATAAATCAATAGTCTAAACAACCTTCTGGAAGGTTTTCTGAAGGGACACCATTCTATGTGCACCATTCATACACAATCAGCATTTCCCTGTTCCCCCCATCGAACAAAACCGTAATTTCTGAAGAGCCCGAGGTGTCAAGGACTCACCAAGTGGCATCCAGAAGACATTTAACCCCAAATTTCCACCCACCATGAAGTTGAAAAATGATTGTCACTGGACCTACAGCACATCCACGAGCTACTCAGATGGCTGGCATGGGCCATGCTCTGATAGCATTCCTGCCCACTGCCCACTGTTACGACAGCTACGAATTAACACCTCCCAACCCAACCAGCACATTTTATGGCAGATTGTCTGCTCTGGTGGGAGATAGTGGAAGATTTGTCCATCAATTGGCAGCAGTCTCCAATGATCACAGGATTGTATGTGCAGACCCTTGCATCAATTCCCACATTTTCTCTGTTGTGCTCAATATCTCTCCACGAGAACCAGCAGCATTCCTCCCTACTAGCTTGACATTACAGGAAAGCACCAAGGACAGCTCCCAGAATACAAACGTTTCCAGACGTGTGCTTGACATCACTGGTCCTGGGAGAAAGTAATGTGCTTGCTATTCTCCTCCCGGAAGAAGAAACTACTCTGTCGATTATGCCACATTAATGAAAAGGATTTTAATAATAATGAGACATCTTTAAAAACAAACAACAGAAAGCACCCATCTAAGCTGGCTTTGTTGCTCTTTTTAGAGCCCATCACTAAAACACTGCCAGGTCAATCATGACTTTCTAGGACCAAAGTTGTTGTTAGACACAACACTGTGTGATGAAAAAGGTTTATGACCCAATGGCTGCTTTCTCTTCTCACTGCAGTGGCAGAGACAAACTAAAAGAAATAGGCGCTATCCCATTTGTGCAGGTGAGCCCAGCATTCTCACACAGGGGTCCAAGGTTCTGTGGCTAAAAAATATACTCAGCATGCTGGTAGATTTGGGATTGGAATTTCTCTACAGTCCCCTTTTCCACTTGGAGGATAGAGACGCTGCATTGGGTATTTGTGTGTGAGGTGCCCACAGTGCAATTTGTTCCACTCCCCCAAAGCATCTGAGCTTAAAAGGAGTAGGAAGAAGCCATGGAGAGTCCCGGGCACCTCGGTGCTCACTGCAGGGGGATGCAGTAGGGCAGCGGGGATGCTAGCTTTGCACCAAAACCTATCTTCGCCCCAGCAGGAGACGGAGTATTCTCTCCTCACCAAAGGAAGCTAGCTCAGGCCTGGGCACCCCACACATCGGATACGTCATGATGACCTGAAATTTCAGTTCACGTTTGGAAGCATGGTGCCAATGGATGCAGGATCAAAAAAAGTGGGGGTGGGGAAGATTGAACTCAGAGAAGACTATTATCAGCCAGAAAAAGGATCTATGCTCACACGAAAGCCACACTTTATCCCAACTCCCTCCCTCAAAATTCTTACTGGTCCCTGGCATTTGGAATCAGCTGATACAGATTTTCCCTGATTCAGATTGGATCCAGGCAGAATTCTGAAGTCTCAAAGATGTCCATTATTGAACCACATCTTAATGATACACTGAGGTAGACCGTGCTGGAAAAAAAAAAAAAAATCATTACCCCACATTCACCTGTTTATTTCTCGTTGATAAAAATTTACATGCTCTCCATTTTTTACGAAAGTGATTTTTACAGTGATTTTTATATATTAAAATAAATAATTTCCCCCTAATATAAGAAAACCTTTCTGAATTAGAAAAATGTGAAAATTGTTGCTAGTGTCATATACGGCCACTACAAATTTACTATGAAAAGAACAAAATACCTAGATCTATGTATTTTTAATTTACGTACAGACCCTCTTATATGTACAAAATAAATTTGGCGAAAATAATTTCTGTTCTCTTGTTCCTTGTACCCAATCATTGAGGCTCCCCAGAAATATTTCATGTGCTGTGATTTCTCAAATCATATAAATAAGATAGTAATAGGCAATTGGGATTTGTGTCTACCTGTGTTCTTAACCAAGAATTGAGAAGGTTCAGAGGTCGCCATTGTCTCTATCCTGTTCTTAAGCCCACAACTTTTAAGAGAAGAGGAGAAGGAAGCAATCGAAAACTCATGAGCAAATGCTCTCAGGGATAACCCGTGGGTGACGATTTTGATGAACCAAAGTAATGAGTTCACCATGTTCTTTATTTGAGCAGCTGTGATTCTTTCCCCAAAGGAAAGAAACTGAATTCATGCCCACTTGGAAGTTCTTGGTGGCGCGACGATCCTTAGCGGTTTCTCCTCCAGACTCTACTCTCTTGGGGACTGCGACATCATAAGCACCTGAGAGTTCTGCTCAGGCCCCACACCTGGCCCAGCTGAGGTCACTGGGTGCAGAGCAGCTTCTGGGAGGTCAACTCTGAGGACAGCTGGATGCCCTGAGGGTGGAGGCGACCGACAGGTGCATCTCGCTTCATATTGCTTAGTGTTCTCAAAGTCCATCTGGGCTGTCGCACTTTGGGATTTGATTTTGTTGTTTGCACAGTAATCATAGGATGTGCACACCCAGTTGAGGAAGCGTGCGAGGTACACACAAGGAACCAAAAGATCCAAGAGCCACAAGTGTGTCTGAAGGCAGGACTCAGCTCCAGGCGCCTACCAGCTTACCCAAGCAGAAACCAAGCCATCCACCAAACCCAATCACCCACACCCATGGCCTCATGATGTCCCAAAGGGTTAGCAGCTAATGTGGCTTTATTCCCAGAAAAATGGATGCCTTTAAGACCAAACAAATCAGCCACTGGTGCCTCGCTCCCCCTCTGCACACAGGCAGATCAACCAAGCAACCCACAAGCCCTCCCCTCCCCGCCCCCCCGGGAAACAGTTAATAACTTATGAGGCTGATGCTGGGGATTTTTTCAAAAATTAAATATGTTACAAATATATTCTCAAAACTCTTAATCACCTTAGTTCTTTTTTTTTTTTTTTT